AACCTACCTTATCTAGTACAAACCAAAACTGACAGAAACTTACACATAAAGAAAGTGAGAAAATAATGTTAGAAACTGTGATTTGTAGGGACTAAGATAACTATCTTAAAGGTCTTTTCCAACCTAAACAATTCTATGATTTTATACTAGCTTTCAGAACAGAGGAGCAGTGGCAATCAAAGGACAGAATATTAACCTCACACCACCACCTACTTTTGCAAACCACACAGCTTCTCTGCAAACAACAGCGTTGAAGCTTTTTTGACCCTAGTCAGTAAAGAAAGTGATTGAAGACCACCTTTTTGAATTACTCCAATTCTACTGACACTTGTCACATAATCTTGCTGTGCTGCCCATGCTTCCTGGTAAGCTTCTCTGCCCCAAGCTTCCAGCAAGACAACTGAACAAGCACGTACAAGGAGGGCTGTCCTGGTTTGCCTGCTTTTATTTTGACACATTACTAACTGCCCAAGCATACCCACTCCCAGGTGTGGTGTTTGTTATTTTTTTTTTTTTCTTTAGCAGAAGGTTGTTCACAACTAATTTGAAGTATTTGTACCAGCAGAAAAACCTTCAGCATTTCTCTAATCTCTGAGCATGCCTTTCTCAGGCATTTTGGACCTTTAGGACTTTGTTTGTGTTTGTAGTGGTGAAAGGCCTGCCTCCCCCTTTCGAGTGTGCTTCAAAAGGAAAACGGATCACAACATCAAACAGCATCAGCATGTCTTGTGACAGACGCAAGGAAGTTGTGTTTCAAGAGGTCATCTAGTCTACAGAGAGAAACCTATGACAGATGCCAGACGACATGCACACGGACTTGTTTTGACCTACATGCTTCAGAAGTGGAGGCTGTGCTGTTTTCAGAGAGGGACCTGTGCGAGCTCCTGGTTTAAATAAAGACATAATAACAGCTGAGAAGCTTCTCAGCATCTGGCCTCCTTGGGTGGCTGCATCTCCTAATTCTCAAATTTCTGCTCTATTTTAGGAAATAAATAATACAGATTAGCACCATAACCTTGAAATCATTGCCATTCCCTGATCAAGATTTTGCCCCCCAAGGCAGGATCAGTTGTCCTTAAGCCACTCTGGTCACACCATCGTCCAATTTGTTCTTTGTCTCCAGCAGTCAGGAGATTTTCCTGGTCTCTACTGTCCTTGCTGTCAATAAGTTTTTCCCAGCTGGCAGCGGCAATGACTCAATAGAGGCAGTGGGCGAACCAAAGCAGCACACCTCCTGGGCTACCCAGTGAAGCTGAGAGAGGCGTGCCTTCCCCTTCTGCCTTTTGTCTCCTTCAGGGTGGGTGGGCCATGCATCTCCCAGCCCTCAGGACATCTTGCTGCTCTTTCTGGCTTCACTGGTTTTCTTGGCTCCCTTGTTGTCAGGTTATCTTAACAGTGGATGTACTTGCTACTCCTTATAAGCTATTGATGTTTCCCACAAAGATGTTAACGCTGTCATTCAGGGGTCCAGGCTCCTCCACCTTTGGCACTGCCAGGATTGCTTACAGAGGAGAACTACAGATTCCTTTCCTAGACAAACCCCAGGAGTGCTTTTGTGGTTAGATTGTTCCTGGGTTCACTCCAACAGACAGCAAGACCACGCCAGGTTTCTCGCACCTGCCATCGAACATCATGGTACAGCACTATCCCATCATGCTGGGCACCCCCGTGTGCCTCTGCCCCCAGAGCAGACGTCCCACTGTAAAACCAGTACAATACAAGGTATTGTGAGCCTGCTTGCTCCTCATCGTTGAGGATTACAGGAAATATGAATTCTTACAGCTTTTAAAAAGCTATATAGCCCCATGGACTAGGCCGCCATGACAGCATTCCTTGAGCTGTCCTAGACCCACATCAGTCACAACTGCAAGAACCTACCTCACAGCTCCCACTAGATATCTTCCTACTGAAGAACTGGAGCAGCCTGCCCCATAAGTAGGGTGGTTGTGGGCTCATATATACCAATCTGACCTTGGGAGCAGGGAAATGACTCACAAAGTGTATGCACAGCCCACACTACCAGCTTTTTTTTTTTTTTTTTTTTTTGAGTGTTTTGGTTCCTTCTCCCTCAGAGGGAACAATGACCAAAGGTAGCAATTAAGGGGCAACATGCAAGAAGTCAAATTTTCAGAGAAAGCACCATACAAAACAAGTAACCAGTTACACCCATGTCCAAAACAAAACAAAAAACCCACCCCAAAACAGGTACGCTGAATGCATTGCTACTCAAGCAGAGCAGACCCTTCATTTCCACTCCCTTAAGCTCAGCTTCACCACAGAAATAGCCTCTCATCACTTATGAAGTTACTGCCCTGTATCAGTTTTTCTGTATTCAAATTATGCTGATCATTAGATAAATGAATGAGACAGAACCACTGTCCAGCAAGCCGAAACAAAAATTTCCAGAAAAGACCACCTGTTCTTCAACAAACGTGCAACAAATCAGTGGATTTTCATTTCAGGACTCCCAGATCTCTGATTTAATTTTATCTACTTGAGACAGAAAGAGAATATTCGAGAATATAAGCATAAGGTTCCTGAAAAGCTGCAATTATATCTAAGTGGGCCAATTGTGAAATATTCTCACCATTTTCCATATAGGCATGACTGATCATTCAGGAATAAGGTCTATTGCTTCTATCCTAAGATTGTATCATGGATACGATTTTGACATGGAATTATGCATAAAGCCATTATTTGCATTTCAGGAAACATTTCCAGTATCTCAATATACCTACAGGGTTCTATGAGACAATCTCAAACATCTGATTGTAAACAAACTTATCGTATGTCCAATAAGATTAGTAATTTGAATTTATATCTAATAATCAGGCAATCCAAGTCTGTCTCAACAAAGAGGCACAGCAAACTGATACTCACTTGATGCTCCTATTTCTCTCTCCCTAGTTCTCCTAAAGCCTAGCCAAGTCATGAGTGAATCAAAAATTATTTGGGAAAGAAGTGACAGAGATAAGCAACCAGTAAGGTATCCAGATACTTGCTTTCCTTTTTGGACATGGTACCAAAAGGACTCTTCACCCAAATCCTTTAAAAGGTCATCAGGAAAATATTTTCATTTTAAGAGACACAAACCACCAGTATTTCCTACTCTCCTAACTGGAATTTTCCAGAGAAGTACAACTAGCCACAGCAATTTATTTAGACAAAAGGTTTACTTATCACAGATGTAATACTTTGTATAATAGTTTCAAGGGCTAACTAACAGAAACCATACAGAGGTCTCTACCACAGTCTACCATAGATACTTTTTTTTCCCCCCTGAAACATACATGGTAAACTACATATGGAATAAGCATCTTTCAAAACCAAAAAGAAGCATTCAGGAGAGAAGCTTGTATTTCAAGCAGAAACTATAAGCTAGGTCAGTGGATAGAGTAAGATTTCTCTCCCTAATACAGTTAAGAAAAAAATTATTTTAGTGAGGCACCTGAAAAAAGAGTAAAAGGCCTGAGCTAGTAGATCGTTAAACTGTACCATGAACTTTTGAATTACGTCTCTATTTTGAATGCAAAAATACTGAAATATACCAACACAGTTTCAAGTTTCTTTTCTGTTACTGATTCATTTTATAAAAAACCTATTTTATTTACAGAGCAGCTTTTTCCTCTGCATTTGTCGCTGTTCCTCGATAACTCTGGAAACCATTCAAGGAGAAGTGAGATTACCATACATTCCTGCAACCTTTATGATGCATCAGTGCCTGGAGAGAAAGCCCTGAATCCAGTGAGCAAGAACTCAAAGTACGATGAACCCTACCCTGTCCTAACAGTACATACACACTCCAGACTAGTCCAAGCTACATTTTGACAACCTCAGCAGATGTCAGAGAAAACACAGGAGGAAACTGAGGCTACTATGGTAGAGGAAAGAGGTATAAAGCGCACAAATCCATCCAAAGCTTTGTTTTGCTACTTGGACAGCTGCTTGCGTTTTAATTGGCAATTTAAACCTATGTAACATGCATTTTTCTAACCATTTTGTGGGTATCAAAGTTATTTCAGATGGCAGTATAATACTGACCTAAAGTGTTAATAGATCTTTAATAGTATTGTTAAACCTCATGATTTTTGTTTGTCAGAGGACACCACACTCTATGAGTAAGCCTCCTCTATGACACTTAAAGAATGGGGTTTTACAAGGCTTAACCGGCTATTTATGACATTTTTAAGAGCAAAACACATTTAAGATCCCATTCAAAAGGCTGTTTTTTAAAAAAAAATTGTGATATTTTAAAGAGACTAACAATTTATTTAATGCAAATGCAACATAGAAAGTCGTGGAGTTCCAAATACACATCCAGTCTGCCATTTCTAGTTTTGTGCAAATTAATTTACTTAAAATAATTTCAGATCTAGCAGGGTCAAATAACATCCAGTCTCCAAAGTTACAGAACTGATGTTTTCCACATCTGCTTTAAATTAGACTTCCCAGTTTTACTAAATTTATTTTTTGATTTAAAACAAAGAAAAAAAACAGTAAACAATTACAGTAACAGCACTTAGCAACAAGAATGGATGACAACTGTCAGTCTTCAAATATAACTTAAGTTATGCCCTTTCTTACCATCAACTTTTAGTCAAATATGTAAAAAAATACAAGAACTAACAGAAATAAAAGTTACCACTATAAGAAAATACATTATATGCTGCAGTTTGGAATAAAATATCATACAATATTGGCTGCATCATTTGGAATATGTACTTGACTGCTTAAAACAGTTTGATGCTAAGCAATTAAACCTTTTCTTTGTGTAGAGGACTACACTTTTACTCACTGTGAGAAGTGTGTTTTGTGATTCATTTTATACTAGTATATTAAACTCCTAAATGTGAAAATGACTTAAGTCATTTAGTGAAAGAAGATACCATAGGCACCATAATATTTTTTTTTCATTTTTAAACAAAATCTGGTGATGAACCAGCAATAACAAAATAGCATTAAAATTAAAAGGCACATTCAGGCAAAAAATAATCAATACCGTTTGCATGATACTATATTTAAAAAAAAAAAATTTATGCTTTGAATAATTGATTGGATCAGGAACAAATATTCTGGCAGATTCTAATCTGTCAGAGAGAAACTAAATTTTGTAAAAGGTGTGCAATTCAAATTATATAATTATTTTTTTATGTTGATTTTTTTTGTTGTTGTTTTAAGGTCAGTATAAGGCTTATAACCAAGTGCACATTAAGAGGACTGGTTACTCAAAAACCTCGTTTTCTGAGTGCATAGAAATACAATGAGCAATGAAGACATTCCTTGCAGGAAGATGTATTCTTGTACGTGTGCTAATCTTGATCAAGTACTGGAGCGTCTTTCAGGTCTCGGAACACATTTCATAGTCGCAGCTCTCCACAGGGCAGGGGCAAGTAAAAGGCTTAGAGTGGTCACACTCAGAATAAGAAGATAGACCTGAGAATTACAAATAAAAGCAATTACTTCTCTTAGTTACATGGTAAACTAAGCGACTACAGGTTTGAGGAGATCAGACTTCTAGACAATATTTTCAGGAGACTTCCCCTGTCTTCCTAACCAACCTACAAAAGTAAACAAGTGCACGCTCAAATAATCTAATTAACTGTTTACCTGGCTTGAAGACACAATTACAAAAACAATGTTGTGAGCTTATAGAAAAACAATTATTTACACGTATTGTTAAGAGGTAAATTTTGAAAGCTCAATGTTACCTAAAAGGTCAAAGGCCAAATACCACTTTATTTTAAAAAAAAAACAACCAACCAAATAAACAAACACAAAACCAAACCATCCAAAACTATTCTGGTTTAATGATACAATGGCAAAGTTCACTACTATTTTATACACTAAAAAAAAAAAGCTAAAGTCATACCGCACATCCGAAAACAAGATCTTAACTACATAGTCTGAATGAGTCTTGTAAAACAGCAGCAGAAAGTTTTTTCTCAAACAGGAGACTTTGTAACTTTTTGAAATTTCAGAGCTATATAAACCTATACAGTAGATAATCACATGAGAGCTGCCACAGAAAAGAATGAAAGCCTAAAAGCCTCCAAGCGCAGTAGGTGGGCCCCTAAACTGGTTCTGTGATCACGTATTATCTTGAAACTCTATACAAATATACAATATTTATAACTTCTAATTATATGCAGGAGTGAACATGAAAATGAATCACCTTTACCTATACAAGTGAACAGCATTGTGTAAGTTTTTCACATGTGCTTTATTTGGAATTGGTTCCAGCATTATGCAGCCCGCTTTCTCACACAATGAAAGCTCAGAGCGCCAGCAGAGTATTTTTGTGAGCAGAGATACAGAGGAGAAAGCAGCTAGCACTAGGAAGTGAAGTCAGTTGTTGTACCTCTATAGCCATAATTTACTTAACTTCACAAAACAGACTTCATCTTGAAAAAAAAAAAATAATGATCTCACAGCTTCAGTATAAAACTAAGTTTAAAGTTTCTTTCCTAGGGGATTTTTTTCATGAGTACTGAAAAAGCTGGTTGTTTCTTCTCCAGAAGATTTAAAATGAACAAGCTTTGCAGGTAAAGATTACAAGTTTACTTGTTTAAATATTAAGGCAATTTCCACTTCACCATATCTGCTCTTTCTTATGTATTGATATTTCCTTATTCAAATCTTATGCTCTCAGTTACCTCTTTCTATAGCTGTATCAAGATTTTAAAAGCAAGGCTTCTCAGTCTTAGTGACTTGGGTGCTATCTATAACTTACTGCTCAGTTAATACAGAGGTTGTAAGTTAAGGTAAAGCATTTATAACTAAGCTATTTAAAAGCAAAATCTGCTATTTAAGATATTAAAGTACAATATGAAACAAGTAAGAAATGGAATGTCAGGGACATACATGTCTCCATTTGTATGGGTTAATTTTACTTGTTAACAGTTGAGAGATACCACAAAACTGGAATGTTTTGGTATTTCAAATACACGGTAATACAAAATCCCTGTAAGTTATTCAGGTGCAAAAAGCAAAGTTAATTACGACAGAAAAGCTTACCTCCCGAGATATGATCCCTGCTCTGCGTGCTCTACTTCCCAGAACAAAAGAGAATTCACTGACTTGTGCCAGTCCTGCTGAGACAATCCACTTGATATACTGGCTGGTCTTTGGAAGAATCAGAGAAAGGACAAGCACTGCCAAGACAAACTTTGAAAAATTTTTTTGGGGGGGTTGTTGTGGGTTTGTTTTAGTTTTTTGGTTTTTTTAAATAAAAGAAGTGCAATAAATAAAATAGTACGATCTTTGTAAGATACATAGCATCAAATACAATAGTTCTGGACATAAAATAAACTAGTGGACTTCTAAACGTCTTCTGTATTAATGTAAAAAGAGACAAATGTACATTTCACAGTAAAAAGTAATACCTTGTTTACTATAATAAAAACACTTGATAACTTTCTCACAAATCCCAAAATAGATAAATAGATGTTCCTCCATGTGTAACTTACTTTTAACATTAATTACAATCTTTTTCTTACTATCCTATGAATGTTGTATCAAACTGTATTCTAATCAGTAAGATTCCTCCAAATACAGATTTACAATAAAGATGTAATATTCTCTGTTGTATCAGATGTTTTCATTAGGGCTTGCATCACAAAGATTATTTAGACTATTAAAAGACAAAAAAGAGAAAAAGAAAATACCTTCATTATGACCACAGAGAATGTAAGGAATAGCAAGACTGTGAGTTCATATATTACAAATGTGGGGAAAACATGAAGTCCTAGGAGGAAAGAAAATGATATTTTAAATTTTAAGGCAAATATCTTACTATGATAATTTTCTGAGTTAATAACAGATTTAATTGCAAGACTGTTATTCTCAAAACCAACCAAACAAAAAGCCCTAACATATCTACCAACACTACCTGCTTGATCATTAAAGCATTTCCTGCATCATCCAATCATTTTTCCTTTGGAGAGGTTTAGTACAAACAATATTCCCAATTGAGTTAAATTTTATATGACCGATGCATAAGAATTTCCATTTATGAAGTCTTCTTTCTTCCACACCAGTCAACAATCCAGAATCTGAACTGAAACACACCTCTAAAGAAAGCTATAAAAAATAGTGCTGGAAAACAGTTCCATTTTTCTGCACAGTGATTGAAACATACACTTTGCTAGCCATTTAACATTTTTGTATGACAGTAATGGACTATCACTGTGGGAGGAACATGACATTCAGTATTTGCACAGACTATAGCTACAACAGAAAATGCAACTGTTTTGATCCCATGACCCTCACTTGCAAACACTGAAAGTCACCTGAAATGGAAAAGTCACTTAGGCTGGAAATGGGTAAAGTCATAAAGCCCTCAGCATGGTTTAACAATTAAGGAATTACATAAAACCCCATTGCTATGAGACTGAAGTTTTTTGGAGGGTGGAGATGGGGCATCTCTTTTTTTTTTTAGTCATTTTAATTTGGTAATTATATGAAGCAAGATAGCAGGAATCAGAAAGAACACAGAAACTTGAAACTAAATCCTGGTAATATTAAACATAAGAAAAAGAAGCTATTTGTTGAGAAGTCCTGGAGTCACTGAGGAATAATCTTACTCACAGCTGACTAAGACCATTTTTTCCCTCCTAGGGTATGAGGAACTTGTGCAGGCAAACATAACTGTGTATCTTTGGAAGCTTATTCCTTTTTCATAAAAGCTCTTAAAAAGAGGAACCAGAATAGTGGTGATGTTCCTGATATATCCATAATAGTTGACAGTTCTCCAACCCAGTTATTTCTGGGGAAGGACGAGAGTTTAGCTTTCTAAAGCATGAGGTATGTCACGTCTTATTTTAATGCAAGACAAGTTTTCACTAATTTTGCCTGCCCCATAGCACTGCAGAGACAGAATAACTGTAGAGAACTAAGAGTCATCTTTTCCTGAGTGCACAAGTGAAGTTACTTATAGTAACTTCACAATGCTTTGTCAATACACACATGCCATTGTGGATGAAAATATATTTCAAGTACATCAGAGATTTTTATACAAGTACTAACCATTCAGCATATACATACCCTGTTTTTTTTTCTTAATTTCCTTCCAACTACTGAAGTGCAAATGACTATCAGAAGAGGAGAGATGGCAGAATAAGAGAGGCGAACACCACAACAAAAAAAGAAATCCAAGTGTGTGCACACATGCATGTAGAGGGATAAGCAGCTTCTCTTTTTTTAACTGTGTATCATGCACATTGTTCATTCATCTTTAAGCTGGTCTCAAAAACATGCATAAGGGCAACTAGAGAAATACAGACAGTGACATGCTTGGTAAGAGGGCCAACTCTGCCATATCTGGAATTGAAGATTTCAGAGGGATGCTATAAAAAGAGCCTAGTGCTCTCATCACTAGTGATGAAGCTACCTTTTCATTTCTGGAGCACACAGTCTGAAGTCCATTTGAATGTGCCCAATATGGAGACCATATTTTAAAGAGCTGAGGCACAAACTACCGGAGATTTCTATACCAATCCTGTGAAGGTAAACATCTGCAAGGTGAAGCAAGCCTAAACCTGTTACATACACTATTCTGAGCAAACAAATAAACATCCCAGCACACAGACATGTTTTGGGGGAAATAAATCCCACCATAGCAGATTTCAAAGTCATTACAAGACCTTTGCCCCAGCCCTAGATGAAAACTTAGGATAAGGCCAGAAGTCGTATCAGACTTCTATACAAACACATGAAGCCTTCCTGACAATACAAACGTCATCAAAAATATTAACTTCATAGACAGAAGGTGCATTCATACGGGCCTTTATTTCAATGGTTTAATCAGACTTTGTGACTAAGCTCAAGAGTCACTATGGACTTGTTCTCTAAAATGGAAGAAACACTTCAAACAAATAACTGAAGAACTTCAGCACCATCATCAGATGGCATGTGGCATGTTGGCCTGTCACCAATAGCTAGGATATCACTTAGGTAGATTTTCACAGAGCTGAGCATAAGCCGCTGGACCTCTATTCTAAGCAGTGTGCTGGAATAGCTAGAATGGAAGCTTTGGAGTGAAGGTGACCTTGCATCAACATCAAGCCAAAACGCACAGTTCACTCATATAAGTTGTTATGTGTTCTTCTGTGGACGATTATGACAAGATTTTGCACATTCTTTTTACAAATACTTTTTTCTTAGCAAGTAAACTCACTCTCCCCTGCAAATTAGACAGATTCCACCAATCTGCTGGATGGCTGCTAAACAGCACATGAAAATCCAAACGTCATGACCACATCCTGGAAGATCCAGCATTAAGAAAAAGAATCTTAGCAATCCTTGATAGGAAACAAGATTACAGAAAAAAAGAACTATGTTGGTCAAATTTGAGCTGGTAGAATTAATTCTGGTACTTGCTCAACAGAGGACGTCGCTCAGAAAAATCACGTTAGCAACACACTGGGATGCTGTATCTACTAAGAGTCTTAATGAACCTAAGATCATAGCTAGCAAATGCATTAAGTGATACAGCCCTGGCTAGATCATTAAGTAGCAGAGCGGAAAACCAACATTCATCTCCATCTTTCTGCAAAGGGGAAAGTCTTCTTGATTCTAGTGTCAGTTCTGAGAGCTTGAAACCTCCAAGTTTTATTGTGTTCCATGCAGGACAACAAAGCAGTAGAGCCAGATGGATAAGGAGAAAGTGATCTATGTCACCTAATTAAGTTCCTGGTGGGATCTTCCTTTGATTTCTCTCAAATTCAACAAAAATGTTAAGAGGCTTATCAGAGAAACATTGCGTGCATGTTTTTTCTGGACAGTGGTAGCACTAACAGTGTCAGCATCACCCGTCTTAAGAAAAAGATCGCACTGTTAAAGGGTCTTCACCATCCCAGGTCCAATGCTGACCACAAGATTTACCCAGAAGGGAAACGGGGAGCCTGGCAAGTGAGCACATCTGTACGGCACATTGAGGACACACAACTTGGTCAGTCAGTGGAAGTAATCTGCCTCCTCATCAGTGGCAGATAGGGTCCTGATGCCCAATTTCAAACTCCATACACCTTGTAGACTGACAAAAAAATGGGATATTGGAGCCTTTAAAAAGAGTCAAACAGTCTATGCAAAGATGTGTTCTGTCTTTCTAAAAAACAACAAACAAAACAAAATCAAATGATGCAGAGGTGGAAAGGGAAGGATCTGAGTACTAAGCACCAAAACATAAAGGAGAAAGAAAGTTCTGAAAATGTGGCTCTAAGGGATTGGGCCAGATGTTCTCTCAAAAATATTAGGGAGGACAGAGACTAATAGGAACTTTCTACCTTCAGCAGAAGCCAGAAACCGTGAACAACACACACACGCCTAAATGAGTGTACAGATGGAGAGTAATTCAAAGTGCAGCTGTTAATGCCTAACTGCAAAGGTGTATTATTGCCACAAATACACCCATGCGTGAATTTGAAAGCAGTAGCATTACACAGGTCAAGCTAAGGGCAGGGCCACTGTTACAGATATTACATGAAAAGGTACTATTCAGCTCAGCTTTTAGGCACCAAAAGGATTTCTATAGTGAGAACAGAAAAGCAGGTATTTAAGACAAACAAAATAGGAACTAACTTTTCCAAATGATGTATTTATTCACTTTTCAATTAAGACAATTTTTTTCTATTTATTCCTTTGTTCTAAAAGGAACAGAAATTATATTGCTGCAGTGGTGCACTATCCCACATCCCACCTCAGGATCTCAGGTCTTTCTGTTCTCTACCATAGGGTGCTTGCTGCACATAGCAACAAGCCTTCTCTCTAGGCGGCAGAAGGGGGTGGGGGAATCTTTTCCTGGGGTCTTCACATAATTTCACATAGTAAATCGTTATGTATTTATAGATACGTATCATTTGCATGTGTACATACATAAGTAGAGAAGCAAGCAAGAAGTCTTTTCTTGATAGATTTCTTTTTAAAAGGTTTAAGGTCTTTATCCTGCTCAGGTTTTCTTTGAAATGTCACATCACTCTTTTTTAAAACCTGCCTCCTTGCCACCCCACAGAACTTTCTGTTAACCACAAAATTTGAAAATAATACAAAGTAAAGGGGAAAGGATGGGATTACGTTTATTGGGGAGGGGTTTTTTGGTTGGTTTTTGTAGGCTTGTTTTTTTGGTGGTTTTTTGTTGTTGTTTGGGTGTGATGAGGTTTTTTTTTGTTTGGGTTTTTTTTGGTTTTTTGGTTGTTTGTTTGTTGGTTTTTGGTTTTTTTTTACAAGCAAGCATTGTCACATTTTGTCAGAGGCCTATAACATAGCTCATTTTTCTGATTTTTAGCTAACTTTCTTCTGAAGCAGGAATAACACCCATTTTCTGTACAACCACATAAACTTTTTAGGCAATTTTCTTTTTTTTCCCTTCTTGCAATTATAATGGTAACAACAGCTTAAAAGATATATAATTTTTGTAATTATGTAACAGAACTACTAAAATAATTTTCTTACAGTATAACGTAGGCTATATGGAGTGCTGCCAGCATGCCAACTGAGGTCTTGCTATTTTCTGGTACTCTACCAAAGTCTTACCTCTAGCCTTAATTTATGCAGTCACAAGAGTATAGGACAGTATTTTTGTTCAGTCCCTTGTAAAATTAACTTTGGGCTTGTAAATACTTGTCATGCTTTGTATCTCTGTTAACGCTATTTGCTCCATCACCATCTTTACTGAAACACATAAACAACTTAACCTATTGCCATTTAACAATTACCCATCCAAACTTGTCAGTTATATGGGCCTAAGAGTTTTACTATAGCTCACCACTTTCCTCCCTTTATTAAAAAATAAGTTATTCAGATAAACATATCTATTACTAAGCCATCTGACTGATCAGCACAAGTTATTACCATGGGCTGGGTAAAACAAAACAAAACAAAAAAAAAAAATCAAGATTGGCAAGCATAACTATTTTTGGCAACCACCAAAACCAGCTTTAGTCTCTGTTATGAAGCAATGGATATCAAACAGGTATATGAGGAAAGGCGTTAGAATTATACTGATCAGACTTCCATATTATATATGCCACTGTCAAACCCTCTATTTTAGGCCTTCCAATGTCCCCAAAATAGGAGGCCTCTCCCTGTGGATTGTACAGGAGATGTGCAAGTGCTTTCACAGGACCTGTCTCCTCATTCACTGTACCTAAGCACTTCTGCAACGTGTTTCCGTTTCCTTTAGAGAAAGTGTATTGAGGCATGCATGGACAGCTGGAGAATGTAGCAGCTCAAAATTAATTGACTGTAAAAATGAATTGACTCAAAACAATTGAATGTAAATATTCTCAGATTTAACTTGTTCTGGATAACAAGCATGATGAGTTACTCTCCTATTCTTAAATATCAAGACTGCATTTCAGTGGGCATTCAGGTAGTCTCTGAGATACATCTTGTTCAATTATTTTTTTCCCTGTGTTAAGAACACACAGATCACATTTTCCTAACTAAAGAAACAAGGTGCTATAAAAAAAAAAAAAATCTCTTTCCATTATCATATTCTGCTTCTAGAGAAAACCCAAGCCATAAAGACCTTAGATCTACTCTACCGAGTCAAAACAGTAGTACAATTTTAGTATAAAGTACAAATATATCCACTGTGAAGACAAAAGAACATTTAAAAAAATAAGGCAAAAAACCCAAACAAAAGCCATCTGTTTACCTTAAAATTTTAAGTTACATGTTTTAAATAGCCCAGACAAATTCAGAATTAACAATGAAAAATTGACATTAAAACAAGAATTGAGAGTGCAACACGAAAATGGATTATGAAAACAAATGTTACATTTAAAATTATTAGCAAAGTCAAACCAATACTGTGGTTGCTTAACATTTTTTTTTAATTTTGTAAAGATACTAAAATCTGTCTCCTCCCCCCAGTTTGTAGACACCATTTTTTTTCTCCTGCCCCACATTTGTAGGTTAACACTATTTTAAAAGTAAGTGTTCTTAGAAGTTACCTATAGATGCAAAGAAAATGATGGCAAGAAAGTCACGTATTGGTTCAATACAGGACATAATCTCCTCAGTAACCATGTGACCCTGAGAAGAGATCAGAGCTCCGGCTAAGAAGCATCCCAGCTCCATTGAAACATCCAACAGCTCTGTGATCTGCCAACAAATAACAGAAAATGTCACTGTTTCCTTTAGCTCTGAATGACTCTATATATCATTTCACTGTGAAATTATAAAAGTGTACATTATACTGAGCGTAGACAATTACTGCCTTTACACAGGTTCAACAACAAATAGAATTCAGTATTTCAGTGTTCTGCAATATTGTATTTATACAAATGACTCACAAAACCAGTTTCCCCTCCATGTTATATCCTTCCCCACAAAAACAAAAATAAATTTCTTAATCTACATTGTAGTGTTTTGTGTCAGTCTTAAGGATAGCATCTGATTTCGCAAAAACAACAAAGACCATAACAGCTTTGGAGTCAGGATTGCATAATACATTGAGGCTGTGAAATAAAGCAGTAAGAACAGCATATTTTCCAGCTGTCAAACAAGGGGAAAAAAATAAAAATCAAAGCTTATAATTTGGAAGAATAGTCTCAATTTAGCAGAAGTCCCAGGCATCAATTACATTTTATTATTGTAAATTGGACTGAAATGTGCCTGTGTGCTTTACTGAATAGGGATGCAGTTAAGCATGTGGAGTAAACTGCAGAAACGAAGCATGATATCCGCTTGAAATAATTCAAACTGCTCTTCATTTTTTTTAATTATTTCAATATGGTGCTAGAAGGAAGAGATGAAACACATGTAAAGAAACTGAACTAAAAACAAATAAATTGCTTAAGGCAATGCTTGGAACATTAAAAAAAGCAAGCAGCACTTTTAGTCGGTATAAAGTATGTTTTAAAATAATCACTATAAAGCCATGCTGCTGCAGACAGTCATCTTACTGAGAAAGGGCAATGCCGTTAATATTAATAGAACATTTAAAACAGAAGACTTGTTTCCATACTAATTTAGATTAAGCAACAATAAACCATAGTACATTTATGGACAACATTCATCATATCTTGAACAGCGTTAGACTATAAGGTATGAAGCTGAAACTCAAGTGACTTGAAATTAATGGAAGACACAATAAACAACCCTCCAAGCTATGCATAAAATGCCACCTAAAAATAAACCCTAGACTTTTGTGTATTGAAGCATTAATGTCTGAATGCTCATCACATAACTCCATTTGTGCTAAGGGTCTGTAATTTATTGCAAGACATTTAAGAAAACAAATTGGTTCTGTCAACTAATACAAATAGTTGCTGATCAGGCAAAACCAACAATATAAGATTATAATGTTACTCTCATTTTAAAACAAAAGGAATTTCAGTGCTTTTCACTACAATTTGAAATTGTAAGAGGAAAGAAGGAAATATATATAAGGAAGGAAATATAAGGCTTTAAAATCACCACAAGATGAAGACGACAAAGGAAACAGTTATGAATAGGAAATATTTAAGTTCTTCTCAATCATACATTACTTGTTTTAAAAGTCACAACCTCTTGAGCATGAATAAGATCCAATATAGCCTCTTCAAATAAAGTTTAATAAAAAATTATTTTTACTATTCAGCTATAATCCCCCCACACTTAACTGTTATCAGCTATAACAGAGCTCCAGATCAAAATTTTTATAGCTAATATTTTAAGTATTCACACGTATGTCATTAGATTACCATGCAAGAAGGGATTTACTGTCTCTTGTATCGGAATTGCATGATACTGTGCTGTTATGAGAATCACTATTCAAGCAAGTGGCAATTCAAGCATGAAAGAAACATCCTTCTTCAGTAAGCATCAGACATAACTGGAGCAAACTATATGTCCGACTGGGTTTGCTCCTACCACATAAAAACTGAATTCTATTCCTCCACTCTACAGCAAGCTAAGTATGACCTTAACGGCCTGGCAGATAGCAAAGTTTGCCTTTTTATTTCTTTTTCTACTCTCTAGGTACTACACAACTTCAGGTCTACAAATAGGTCACTCTACATACAAAAAAGTGTGAAGTGGATGAGAAGTCAAGAAAAGAAACAAAAATTACATTATTTTCCTAGCTCCATCCCTCCTCCTCCAGTCTGTTCTTCAAATTTATATCTAGGTTTATACAGAGACTCCTTTTACTATTCTCATCCTGGTCTCTGGTTGTCCAAGAATATTACCAATAAGTGGATACATTTGCTCAACCATATCTGTAGCATCAGGGTTTATAATGTGTGGGTGTGTTCGTGCACACACACATACACACACTAGAGAGGGTTTGTTTTACTGGCAGGAAGATATTCTCAGCAAAGTTTTTGATATAAGCAAAACTTGAAAAGTATTTTGCATTTTGTATTCCCTCCCTGCTTGCATAATTTTTAATGTTTTGCCTTTATCAAACAGGGCTCTAAGAGTTACTAATCTCTGGGCTCTGCACTGTCCTTTTCTCAACTTCTACATTACAGAAAGCTTTTTCAGTCAAAAATAAATGAAAAGTTCTGTCAATTTATATGTTTTTCCCAGTACAATTTAATTTTCAGTTGTTTTCAAAGGTCCCATTTTACTCTAATTCAGAAAGGACTGCTTTGCTTTCACTAGAATATAGGAATTTTATGTTCTACTGCAGCTATAAAGAAATAAATGAACACTACTGCTATAACATGTTCAAGTTTAGTTTCAACCATTTGTTCAGCAGTTGTTTTGTCTATATTCTCAGACAAGGTGTATCTTATTGCTACTCTTAAACCACATAGAAGCTTAATGAATACAGTAAGACAGTAAAATTACAGAAATGCCTGATGGAAATAAAAGTATTAGAATTTCAGACTTTAATAATCAGCTCAAGAGTAAAGAGGTGAATTGTAAACTTGCATTTTAAGGAAGTAAAGCCTTAATGGAAATGGAAACAATTTTTAGTGAGCCTAGTAAAAACTCCATCGCAACTGTATTTTATTAAATAATTAACTAGAATATTTGAGATTACAGTTCTTCCTTAATCTTCTCCTTTTAATTGATAGAAAAGAGTTCATAAACACATTGTGAGCCGCTGAGCTGTGGTTCAGGCAAACAATGAATTACATTCCTAATACACTGCTGGGAAAAGTATGTACATTTTCATATATAAAGTACTGCAATGACATAGCCATATTTTCTTTTCATCTTTTTGTTATATAAAGCAAGCTGGTGATTTCTCTCCATTTGCTGCCATCATTCCAGGTCAACCATAATGCAATCAAACTGGAAGCCACTTCCCCCTGCCCCCACCTCCTCCTTGTGTATGCACAGTCCTACAAACCTGTAAATGTAACAGCTCTCCTTTTTGCTGGGTCAGGTTTTACTTTTTTCCGATTCCTTAATAGCATTCAGCAGCTTAGTTTTAAAACATAACAAAACTGACCACTGTTGTCCTGCAAATATCTAACACAACAATTTATTATCAGGACAGTGTTTAAAACAATTTTCCTTGTAATGTTTCTGTACATCAGAACACGAAAAAAGCAACACTACACCAGTGAATGCTCTGGCTGCCTTGTAACATGTTCTTCAGCTCACTGTCGTATATATCCTCACCTAAAAGCACCAGTTTGGCCATCAGTCCCAAATGGTCATATTTAAAACCATAAACTAGATTTGCTCTTTATGTTGTGATTCAGGAGAAGAGTTTCCCAAATAATGAAAAAAAAGCAGCATCTGCATAAGTCAAAGCTTGAAAAGGAGTTGCTGAAAGTGTAATAATGATCTACTGAACCACTGTTACTGATGACAGGTACATGATTGAAAGATGCACAACTGTATCTCGAAGTCAGCTAGACTTTTATAGGACTGGCAGTTGACACAATCCGTGCCCCCCGTCTGTCTAACTAGTTGAGGGGAAAAAGGGAGGGAGAATTTAAGTTACTTCTGAGAATATCTGGGAAGAGAAAGAGGTATTTTGAGCACCAGATCTTGTTAAAATATCTCATACTTGAGATTTGTTGCATGACTTTTACTCTAAGTTACTTTGTCAAGAAGAGATGTATTTAAGATCCTGTTTCAGATTTAAGGACTCGCAGTGTTACCCAAGTGAGCCAAGCAGTTCGGAAATGCTCAAAAGTCACTTCCATACAGAAAGCTCCTCAACTGACAGAATAATCCCTTACATCAATCTTGCTCACTTCTGCCCTATCCTCCCTCTTGTTTAGCCATATAGAATTTGCCCTTATTGGTAGAAAAATAGCAGTTCTTGTTTAATTTATCACCTGAGATTTTCAAACACAGGAAACAAGTAAAATAAGTTACATTTCTACGTAATGTGCATTGCCTATGCTAGTGTTACAGTAAACCCCAGTACAAGATAAACTTAGGTGGACCCCAGAAATCCAGTCACCACTGAAGCACATAACAACTAACTGTATGCATGAAGCAGGAATACCATATCATTCCTACCCACTGTGTCATGTATTGGAAGGGATGTGGCCTGCAGAACAACCCACATGCTAGGCAGAGAGTTAAAATATTTTGGTTTTAAGAGTCTCTCAAGTTTTCTAAATGGAGCCACAGAGTCATCTTTGGTTAAGGCCACTAAAATATGCACTCTCTTATTCCTCCCAAAACAAATTTAAAACCTTTTTTAGAATTACACCAGTATGGGAAAAATCTATGTTTGCAGATAATTGTACAAACTCCATCACCCTTTAGGCCTGGTTTTCAAAGGAGAAGGATCTTTGCAGGAACCATGACAGTTTAACTGCTTTCCTACCTGGCACCCAAAAACCTTAATTTATCCTTTCCAAACACATGCAATATTTTTTCAAATTACATTGCCACCCCACATCCTATGGTTTTATTCCTGACATAATAGGAGCATCTATACCAATTAAGATTTGTTTTCCAGAAGATATGTTTGTTGAACTGTTCAACTGGACAACCAAATATTTTGATTTGTTTTGGGTTTTTTTTTCATTATTGCTTTTTAAGTCTTTGTGCTCAAACCACAACTTGTAGTATTACTATAATGAATGTATTGGTGTCAGTGAATATCAAGGATCTCAACTGGTTTACTGAGGTTACCTGCAGTTTCCTTTGTACTGTTCCCTTTGATACATTATTTATCAACTTTAAAAGCAAAATTGCTTTCACTTAAAGTACACAAAATATTTGCTCCTTCACAAACACTTCCCCATGCTGAAGAAGCCTTCTGTTTTGCAGTGTGAATCCAACACACTCAAACACATTCTACCACAGGTTTGTATATACTTATATATTACATAAAGTCACGCAGACAAACTCCTTGTACATTTGATACATGATTTGGGCACAGTATGCCAAATTCAGTCAGATCAGTCTACGGAGAACATATTTTTAATGAACGTAAGACTGCTTCTCAATACCATAATATTTTATGCAACTTTTGTGGTTTGGTTGTTGCTGTTTTTCATTGAAGTTGTTCTACAAATGTTATGCCTGCATGTTAGAAAGTAGGAGAAACTAGGCTTTTCCTTCTCTTATTGGATGGCACTACTGTTTGGAATATGAATAGCTGTTTAGAGGGATGGCATTTTTAACCCATACAATAGAAATCAACAAATTGTAAAGCTATGCTCTCATTAACTTCTGTCTTGACCTTCTTCCTGAAGGAGGTCAGTTTTCTCTGTTGGACCTGCAATAATTAAGCAAATACCCCTAGAATAAAAGGCGCACGCATAGGAACTTTTTGGAGTAACTTTTCTCAGGAATTCTCAGAGGACATAACAATCTGCACATCCAGAATAATGGAGTTTCAAACCCACAACATTATCAGTGACTGTCATATTCTGTTCTCTAGCAGAATAATTTTTCAGAGGGCTGAAACATGAGATAGAAACAAATAGAAGGAAGGTTCAGAGGAAGATGGACCAAACCCAAAAGGCATATCAAAACCTATGAACCTTAAGGCATTTCTCTGCTTTCTCAACTTCATCCCAAACTGTTTATCTTCCACAGATAAACAGCAAACTGTTTATCTTCCACAGAAAAAGAAAACTACTTTATAATAAAAACAGTGTTGAGAATTTGCTATTGAAAAGGAGCTTGTCAGCAAATGTCACTATCAGCCATTATCAATATCTCAAAACCCATCCTAAATTGTTTTCAAATGCATAAAGAAGCCCAAAATTAAAACTGGAATCATGATTCTATAACTGGCTGCATTAAAATTTACCAGCAGAAGTTCAGCTGATTGATATTCAAAATTTATGTCTTCTTACTCATCTATGCTGTAATGCATGAATCATCTGTGCATTTGGGGTATGTTTTAAAACATTTTAAAACCAAATAATTAACTACAGATACATGGATATGCAATAAGTGTGATGGCTTTTGTGATACTGATGCAGTAAAGTACCACAAGTCTCAAAATGTTTTATTAATTTAAAAGATTACCGTTAACATAAGGAAGATGAATGCAGTTATTCCTAGAATGAGGATTTCTTTATTCCCTTTGCTTTCTGCATGCAACTTGCGATAATATGGTCCTATGAGGTAAGTCTTTATAATAAGACATAAAATAAAAACCGCAGCCAGAGAAAAGAGAATTTGGCCAATCAGTATCAGTATTCTCAGTATTTCCTTGAAAATGCTGGAAGAGAAGAACAAACAAAACATTTATTTCAAGTGTTCTCATGGCTCCCAACCAGTTCCCCTTAAGTAAGAATATCTAATTCCACAGGTGTTCGAAACTGAGTAGGTACGGTAAGATTTAGATACATTAGTAAACAAGACTAATACTAAATCTGCTGAGTGTCCAGCAATCTCTTTTAAAACATAGGATTTACTTCCATTTTGATTCAAAAATATTTTTGTTGATTGATCTTCAAGGTAAGCCATCAGCCTCAGTAATACTATCAAAAAGTCTTTGACAAAAAATGTCTTGAGGGAATAAAGTAACTGTAAAAAGTAAGCGAATTTCTTCAATAACATTCCCTACAAAATTGAAGTACTGAAACAGGACTAAGGCAGCTAGAGCAGAAAGAATATCCTCATACAACATGACAAGCACAAATAGTAAAGGGAACTCACAAAACCGTGTGTTTTTCACAGAACTGACATGAACAGTAGTGCTCTCATTCATGTTTGCAGTCTGCACACTAATTGGAAGGGGGTGGGGGAAAAGACATACAATTTTGGGTTTTTTTACCTGGAATATGTGCTCACTCCTGCTTGAATAAGTGTAGGCATGACAGCTATAAATAAACCAAGCTGCACATCCTGCATCACCAACATGCCAAGTAGTACGCTACTGTAGTCAATATCGCCTGTACACCAACAAAGCAGTCATGGACATGTTCATCAGAAATCTATGAATGCTTGCAGTGCTCAGAAATCTATAAATATCTTAATCAAATTGAGGCTAAGTATCGTTCTCAACAGGGTGAGGTCATTCAAAGCATTTTAGGGTTTTCCCCCCCACCAGCAAGTAAATTAAAATATATATAAAGATGTATTTAAAATATAAATAAAATATGCATATGAAGCTTCTGTTATACAACAAAAATTACGGACTTTGCTTAGCAGTTAAGCACTAAGTTATGATTTACTGAACTCCTTTACTGAAAACATACAGTCTTTAGAATAACAGACACAAGTAAGAGCCAGCATGTATAAAATACACACTTTGAATTCAGGCATTAGAATATGGATATTCTAGGGGGTGGGGAGAAATTTAATGAAGTATGTATGAGAGAGGTTTAAGTAGAAGAAAACAGGATGGCAAAACTTTTGAAAGGAAACATTTAGAACTCTTTGAGAAGCTAGCAATAGAGCACTTGAAGGTACTTACTTGAAGAGCTGTTGGGTATGAAAGACTACCTGAGCTGTTCTTACTTAGTTTGCTGAAGAAGGATGTGAATTATTTAAGTTAGCGTTTCTGCCCTGATGAAAGACTGGTAGTAACGGTCTAACCTGGTAACCTTTTAAAAAGCACAAGGATTCCAGACCCTCAGTAAAGTCAATTCTTTGGAGGGTCAATATGGAGAGTACAGATTGGGCTACACTGTCTTTCTCCAAAGAGGACTGGCTGTGTAAATATCAGGTTCACCTCATAACAAGAATACACACAACACTATCCAGTATTAAAGGAGGATGATCACTTGTAAACTAGACTTAACAGTGGCTTTTGTTTTGGTTTGGTTTTTAACTTGTTTCTCTCATAATATTACAAAGTCAACTTCTTTCAAATTTTGTTCTAGATACTACAATAATCCATATTTAAAATTATACTTACCTTCTTTATCTCCTCGAACACTACCTGCCAGAAATCTTGACACCAATGGTGTGCTTGACAGAGATAAACAAGTGGAAATGAAGACACTTTGTGTTGGTCTAATTTGGAGCAAGTGCCCCCATAGTAAACCAAAGGCAATCATCAGAACCGTCATGTAACAGGGTCCTTGCAAAGATATTTTCCATACCTTGGGGAGAAAACAAGTTCTTATGGTAAAGTCTGATGACACTTTTCTCACTGATAAGCTACAGTAAACTTCAGCGCAAATAAGCAGTTAAAGATGCACAATTTGGGGCTGCAGTGCTGGGCCACAGAAGTAACGGGCTGTCATCCTATACATCCTAAAACTCTGAAGTTGTTATGCCTGGTAGATAATACTCTATGCCAGAAGGCTCCTTACCAGGAATTAGGTAAATTTGCCAGAACTCACAGACCAATCAAGGACCAAAGGTCCAGTATGGGTTGAAATACATTAAAATCATCAAATGGAAGAGTAGTTATTTGATGCGATTCCAAGGGTAGGAAAAAAAATGGGAGTGGCTAAGACCATCATTGATACCAGCAGCCTGCTCCACACCAGTGTGCACACAACTCTGAAGTAACAATTTCCATACTACAGTTTAGGAACCCTTAAATTACTAATTTTAATCTTTGACTTCAGATGGACTAGAAATAGCAGATTAACCTGAATGCTCATAAATTTTAACACATTTCAGTTAAAGCTTTTATAGTCTCATGAACTCACAACCATCAGTTTAGGAACAAATCACACAAGGCAACTCTATACATACAAGTCCTTACATATTTTGCATCAGTAGTCTCCTCTATTAAAATTTTAAGCTGGTTTATGAGATAACTTTTTTTTTTTCCAATTAAGACCAAAAGAAACTTGTACCTTTTTGCTGAATCCTGATGGCCACATCATGTAATGTTCCAGAGTGTGCTAACATACTTGCAGAATCAGTTTATTAGCCAGTACAGCATGTATCATCAATGCAGTATGCAGTACTTAACAAACTGATTTTTTTTTATAACAGGACTGGCAAACATCACTGGACACTCCATAACAGCAACTGCATGTTACTGCATGTTAAAATAAAGCAGAGATGGATTGCCATAAATTGTATAAGGTTTTTCTAGTAATCAAACTGTTTTACTAAAATGAAGAAGAGCAAATTTTTTTTTTTTGGAGACACCAAATAATGCATTCTGTTATTTCCAAAGAGTTAAAGTGAAGAAGTAAATGTCATCTTTGTCTTTCAAAAAATATATACGAAGTTACACCAGCATATTATAGTGACAATGTAAAAATCTGAAGTATAACTGATAACTTGAACATCAGCAATTAAATCCTGTAATATAGAGGTATTATAGAAAAATACCTTTCTTAATCTTTCAGGAGAAAATTCCAGACCAACTAGAAAGAGAGTGAAGAATACACCAAACTCTCCTAATGTCTCCACCTGTACAATAGACTTTAAAAAAAAATAAAATAAAAATCAGTACACAGCAGTCTACTTATAAAGTCTGCTTACAAAACAAATTGTTTCTCATTATGTTTCCATAAGTAGTTCACTTGCTGGTCATATGACATCAGAAGTTCCCTCAGCATCTTTAGGGTTCAAACATTTTTCCCCATCACCTGGTTGCTACTAGATAATTTGGTTTGATAGTGCTGGTCACCCAAAATGCATCTGCATGTTGACCTAGGTAAGCTTGCTTGATGAAAATAAATATGTTAAGTCTTATGCATAAGCTGTTAAACCCCCAAGACTTGCATTCCATAAGTTCCTTCTGGCTAGTTATTTTATTGGTCCATTGGTATAATCATTCTGCTAGATTGTAGTTGCTGTTCTGCTCTCCATCCCATAGATTCCATGCATCCATCTCTCAGACCAGTACAACTACCAGCCTTTCTACTTCAGAGAGAAGGGTGCAACAGCAAGAAAAGTGGTCATTATCCTTGTCACAACAGAAAAAAACTAACATTTCTTCCCTATGTATTTACAGTCCAGAGCAGAAGAGGACACGATCTGTCATCAATCATAGAGAAGTGGAAATGGAAACTATCTTTCCTGCTAGATTAGAATTTGCCTGCCTCCTCAATTCCTCTGACATTCAACTTCTTTTATGAAATACAGAAGAGACAAAAGGAGAGAGTACAAATGATAGACCATCCAGTCAACATGAACATTATCCAGATGAATAACCTTTAATCACAGCTCCACAAGAAACAGGCAGCTCACTAAGAAATGGTCTAAAGAAGCCCCTCCCATGTCTGTTCTGACCTCATCATCTTCCTCTGTGTAAGACTCTGAAAATTTGTTGTTGAGTCTCTTTCTAATGCCAAGCTTACAAACTTTTCTCTCAGTCTAAGTGGTCAAGCTTTCCAAACCTTCTCAACCCAGAAGTTATGTATGACAAAGGTTCTTATTTAATATCAGTTTTGGAATATGAAATTTTGAAAGTGTAGTATTTGGAGCCTTCTCTTGCAATAGCAAATGGACAAAATCCTACAATTTCTATTCATTCCTACTTACTTTTGAGCCCAACAGTCATTTTCAACAAAAGTCCACATCAGAGCAGAGGTTGCAAAGACAGTAAGTTCCAAGCAGTTGTGTGAATATCAATATAAGAGACACAAGTAACTTAACCTGACCAACCTTAACATGTGTTCTGTTTTGCCTGCTGGCTAAACAATCTGTTAATGCACACCAGAACACTAATCAAAACACATGCAATGCCTAGCCAACAACTACAGTCCACAGTTTCACATTCAGCTGGTAATCAGGGTACATATGATGGAGCTAAAAAAGTTCAAGAGACTTCAGGAATGTGGGCAGGAGACTGGAAAAGAACTCGGGTGACTAGGGTGGACGAAAGAGCTACAGAGATGCAAAACAACTCTCTAGGAAGCCAAACTATCCTACTCAGGGAACTACTTGTTTTAAACACTTCCCTCTGCTGCCAACACTGACTTCTTGCAAGTTTCTGAATATTTGATGTAATTTAAATAAATTTGGCTCTCAAATGTGAAGCTTTATGATTAAAGACAAAAAGCAAAGCAACAAACAAACAAAACTCCACAACACACAACCTTAAGCTTTCACTTTCAACAATTGCTTACATCATGACTATATAGGAGAAGAAAATTGAAAACAAAGTGATTCAAAGACATAACATTTTAAGGCCTCATTTTGCTAAGGTCCAGGTTTGGGGATTTTTAAATTTTTTTTTAAATACATTTGAGGTTGGCAATACTATATTCTTTTAAAACTATTTTTGAAGAGTTGAACAAATGAAAAAAAGGTTGAGGGAACTGGGCTTGTTTAGCTTGGAGAAGAGAAGGCTCCAGGGAGGCCTCATAGCGGCCTTCCAGTGCTTGAAGGCAGCCTATGAACAGGAGAGGGAGGAACTATTTACAGGGGTTGATAGTGACAGGATGAGGGGGAATGGTTTTAAACTAAGAGAGGGGAGATTTAGGTTGGATATTAGGAGGAAATTTTTCCCTCAGAGGGTGGTGAGGCACTGGAACAGGTTGCCCAGAGAAGCTGTGGATGCCCCATCCCTGGAGGTGTTCAAGGCCAGGCTGGATGGGGCCCTGGGCAGCCTGCTCTAGTGGTTGGCAATCCTGCCCACAGCAGGGGGGTTGAAACTAGATGATCTCTAATGTCCTTTTCAACCCAGGCCATTCTGTGATTCTATGAAATGAAATTAAGAAGCAACTTGCATACTTACCTTGATGCTATTTAGTCCTGATGGTCCTAAGAGTACTCCACAGATGATATACCCAAACATGGTTGGCAATCCTATTGTTGTGCACAACCAGCCACATGGCAAAGACAACATTCCTATCGTCACAATATCCTAAATATGTAAGATTTACAAATGCATTAATATAAAGGAAACACAAATTTGTAATGGAATTAAAGACTATTATCTTTCAAAGGATAAACATCACTGTAAAATTGCATGTAGAATGCTGCCTGGAAAAAGAAAACACAACTTCAGTAAACTAATCTGAACACTTTGTTGTAGATGTAAGCACTGCAGTTTTGCAGATAAAGCAGATGAGGTACTGACCTTAAGTAATTGATAGCTTTGGGGACTTTTGATCAATTTATTAAATATTTTAAATATATTCTAGGAAGCAGACCACTTTCTGGGGAATTGTGAGAGGAATAACACTTTGCATTAAAACAAAATAGTGAAACAGATCTGTTTTGTGTGGGTGGTTTTGGCGGTGGTTTTTTTTGTTTGGTTTTGGTTTTTTCTTTTTTTTTTTTAAATCCCAATCCAGTTATTCTTTATGAAGCACAAATACAATTAAAAACATGTTTGTTTTCTAGCATCCCTTTTTTCCATCACAAGATATAAACAGATAAATTCTCTCTAGTGACAATATGAAGTAGCTTATCAGGCACACCAGTAGCTTGCTTTAACACTGTGCAGTCTGAGAGAAGGGATGCTGCCCTAAAGGTGCAACAAGTTAAATCAAATAAAAACAGAGAGAATTCATGTGGCATCACCATCAGTCTTGTGAAGACTATACTATGAGTAGCAAAGCCATTGTCCAGGTCATCAGTAGACAGGGCAATCATGAGTGCTAGGATAACTTTAGAGGGACAAATGCTCAAACTATATTCAATCCCATGAAGCAGTACTGGCATGCAGGCTAGTGGGACTAAATCTTACCAAAACAAATGACAAGAATATCTCTAAAATTATTACCTTTATGAAATGATGATCAGCACGAGGAATGGTTGAATCTCTGGGCTTGGTAAGGATATACTGATTGTTCTGGGAATCAATAAGCATACTAAGCCCTAAGTCATCCTCTACTTCTCTTTTTGAAGCATTTCTTTTGGAGTTAGCCTCATCTTCTTCCACCCTCAAAACTGCTTCAAAGTTTACACCTCTTACCTGTAAGAAAAAGAAGGTAAATAACAACAAAAAAAAAAAAGGGGGGGGGAGGTCAGTGGAGCAAACAGTAAAAAGAGAAAGACTATTAGCTGTGCTTGAAGTTGCTCCAGAATTTGTTGACACTGACTAAATACACTGCAGTTTCTTAAGAGACGTCTTTCAGTCTCTCCATCAAAACTCAATGTTCATAACTGAAAATGCTTCCAGTTGCTTTACATTTTAAAAACTAAGGGTTTTCCAGACCTCTTTAGCCAAGTAGTCCAACCAAAGGAAAAAAAAAAAAAAAGAGAGACAGGGTTTCAAACCTGTGAAATTACAATTCGGTATTTTCAATTGTATCTAATCTGAATTTTTTTTTTTTCCTAAAAAGAGTTTTGTCACATTTAGAACACAAAAAGTTGTATTTCATTCCCTTGAACAAAAACAATTAGAGATTACAAAGTGATATTCAGTTCACAAAACTCTGAAATAATGACTGCATTCCAATTCAAGAAAAAGTTAACTGTCCTGTAAATTTGAAGGAGAGAGGATAAGAACTTCTTCTACCTAGCTCTGTCTTCAGTGCCTGTAGTTAAAGTGGAAGATACTAGGATGATTTGATTATTCACCATATTTTAAATAATGTAAATTTTAGCAATATTCAGAAAGAGTTATGGTTGTTACTTCTTTTAGACTCCAGTAAAGAGAGTAGGTTGTTGTCATTCCAGTGACTGACTACAAAACATTCAACTTTTCTGGGTTGCCATATTTTGCCCAAACAACTCCCCAATTTAATGAAGAAATGCATTCACAAAAGCTGTCTATAAAACAGATTCCTGTTTTTCTTTGCTGATTCCCCAGCACATTTTCCCAAACTGTTCAGATAACTATTGCATTTTCAATATTTAACCTGCAATTTTTATCCTTTTCTTACACTCCTTACATTTGTGTGTGTGTATAATTAAATAAAAACTTGATTATAGTAATGACAGATTGTAGTAATATGATGGGCCTCTAAAGGACTGGAAGTCACTAAGAATCAGACAGAATGGAAAAAAACAGAATTTGAAACAAATTACAAAGTTTGCAGAATTATTTAGAAGCACAAAATAGCTGCTTCAAACACCAGCATTTTTAGCTGTTGGAGTGAGAGGCTGATGACCATTTTCTTCTCATGCATTATGAAAGTTATCTTTTCACCCTTTTTTGCCCAAAACCTGTCTTGTTAAATATATATTTTTGCCTTTGCTTCCCTAAGCTCACCACTTACCAGACTATTTTGCATTCCAGAATGAGGTGTCCATTGTCAATTCTAAGAGACCAAACCACATTTTCATGTTTTCAGCTGATGGGAGAAAGCAGGAGCAGCTGCATGCCACCTACATGCAAACTATTCTCATAGTATTGGAGAAAGAAGAAAGGCTTCCCTACAATCAGCAAACATGAGGAACTGTTTCTAATCAGAACATACAAAAGGTGCCTACTCCTACTATTCTTCTGTCATCTTTGCTCCTGTCCCCCTCTCCCACACCCTCAATGCTACTCCAGGGATACCAAAACAGAGCTTAGAGCTTACTGTTAAATGTTGGCTCTACAATTGAAAATTTAGACCGACTTTCACATTTAAATTATTTCACTGTTCAGTGCAGTGTCCCCATCTTGCAGATGACTCTTACTTTACCTAAAAAACAAAGTGCTAATAAGCCAAAATTTTCTAATATCTTCCTGGGAATTTAATGTTATGACATCAGCAATCGTGTTCACTAAGCAAAATTATCTCATAAAATACATCAGCAGTAAAGCATCTACTTTGACGCTCTGGCACTCCAAATTCATATTGAGTTTGTTATATGTTCTTTTGTGCTTGGTAGCTTATGTGTCTGGAACCTAAACAAACTTCTCTGCAATAAAATTAAAAACGTATCAAAGTTCATATAAAAGCAATGCAACTGGATAAATACATTCCTCATCTGGTAGAGTTCAGAGTCTAGGTAAGAAATAACACTAGGAAAAAAATCAAGATGTTTATAAGATCAAGACAATTATGAAAAATGATCTTTTTTTTCCCCTGTGTAATACATATATAAATCATACATTGTGTGGATATTATGGTACATTTTTACTTTTACAAACGAAAAGGGAACTGACAAAAGACAAACTATGCTATAAAAGCAACAGTAGATGGCACAGGTTCAGATGAGCTTTTAAGTACTAATAAATTTGAAGACATAATGAGAGAAAACAGTTATTTTCAGGATTTTATTTCCTGAAACAGCAAAGCCTGAAAGCAGGTTGTACATAACAGAAAACAGCGTAAATATTCGTCTTGCATTAAGTGGGTTAGCTCAGATTTTTTTTTTCATTTTTACCTACAACACTTTCCTATTTGATTGTATTTTAATAGAAGCTTTTTTATCTTAATCAGATTACTGATCATTCTATCAGAGCTTCTTTGTTACAATGTTCCAGTATGCTAGCTTAAGAGAAAACATGCTAGATGTTTTTTTGCAAAGACAGACATGTAAATAAATAGTCCTCCAGGTTGTATTTCATGACTCCTTTTCTTTCATTAATAGATACAAGCAGCAAACCAAAGAGATACACTGGAGAAAAAGGATGCGTTGGCTTTTTGCCAGTTAGCAGGTGGAGCAGAACCACCCTCATCCCTGCTCTTTAAAATGTGCCGTTATACCCCAGCGGAACAGGAGAGGGCACCCCAGCTAGCTCATCCCTTCCCCGTTGTTGGTCCTGCCTGGTAGGATTCCCACTAGGTACAACTGATCTGGTGTATACGAGATAAAAAGCTGCTCTCACTTTCTCTCAGTAGAGTCCAATTACCAAAAAATGGCCTGGCTATCTACTACTGAGCAACTGTTTTTCCTCCTCAGCAGAATTCAAGAGCTAAGCTTGCCTCACAAGTCTACCTGCAAGTCATCAAAAACCTTTCAAGAAAAAAAGGCAAATAAAATTGCAAGCCACATTTATGCAAAACAGGACCAATTTAGAGAGTCAGTCGCTGAGCACAGCACAGTGGGACAGTAGAATGAACTGATGTACTCCCATCTCCAAACACACACAGCCTTACCTGAGGGATACTGTTCATCGTGCAACATGGAAACAATGAACAAACCAAATAGGCCAAGGCACAAAAAGCAGAGGAAGTGAGAAGTAAAAGAAAGCAACACCACAGACACATTTCAAGTCCTTACCTTGGAGAATATATCTTTTGCCAGACTCTGAAAACTAACTGCAAGTATTCTTGTTCTCCCATAACTTTCTCAACAAAATGAAAGAGAAAAAAAAGTGGAGACTACACTTAACATAGTAACTCCATATCCTGCAAAGTCTAAATATCCTCACCACCATGTCCTAACTCTCATGGGCTGTATCAGTGAGATGGACTACACTTGTCACTGTTAAAGTGGCAGCTACAGGGGGACTTTAGTTCAAAAACACAGAAATCATGAGCAAAAAGAAGTAATTATTCCTGTTTGCTCATTCCTAGCAAGCAACCTTTCTACTACTAGGTACTTTATTCTGATGAAAGGGAAGCAAAAACAAATGTGGAGCCAAAGGCTTTTTTTGTGGGTTTTTTTTTTTTTTAATAGTCACTAAAATCCTACCAGCTATTTAACACAAGAGAAATACCCCTAGAGTGCAAATATAAACTAAAAAATAAATGCACACTCATGAAAAGATTGAGTCTAAAACATCACTTACAGATTTGTTGTCATCAAAGGCATGCTCTTCTATTTCCTCTTCCAATCTATCAGCTGCCTTCCTGACATCTTCTAGAATTTCATCAAGCATTGACAGGCTTTTATTTTGATGCTGCATGTTCTTAAGGGCTTCAACCTGATGTTTTTCTGCTGCTAAGAGTTCGACATATTCCATTTCTTCCTGTTGAATTTTACAACATACAGATAAAGTGCTGGCCAGGCCTTTGAGCAAGAAAACATTTGACATAAATGTTTGACACAAAAACTCTTAGAAGTGGAATTGCAAAAGCAATATAGACTTTATAATGGTATTTGAAGATTGCTTTCTCTTGTGGCAATTTTCTTTGGGTGAAGTGGGCAAGAAAAACAATAAACAAACTAACAAAATATCCACCAGTTGCCTTTTCCAATCCATTAAACAGTAGAGTTGCCCCAAGGTTATGAGCCAGAAAATACAAGAAAGGAATTACTTTGAGGAACTCTAGGAAATATTTCAGAGCCAAGTAAAGTTTAGAGCTCAGTGCTTCAGCAAGGAAGCGTAATAAACTTGAAAGCACAGCTTTACTAGCTACAACAAACAAACAAATTGGAAGGAAAACACAAGGAATCTTAACCTCATAAGCCATTTTATAAACATGGGAAGAGGTCTGTGTATGGTTTCAAAAATTACAATGACTGTGGAAACAGCTACAAAAAAAAAATAAAAGCAGTTGGGAGAGAGTACAGGCAAGCAGTCAAGCACTCTAGCTGAGCTGTTTATGTTTCCCAAGAAGAATTTTTCCTATCAGATATAAAATACTAGACATTGTCCACCTTTCCAGTTTGGGCCTTTTATGAACTTGCACCAATGACTTCTGAAATTCATTTCTAGGCTTCAGAAGTAAGAAAAGAAAAAAATGCTGATGTGGTTTGGTATGGTGTAAAGATATTTCAGTAGCTTCCCTGATAAAGATATGATGTTTCATTTCTCTTTGGATGTTTCAGGTTTAAAAAGTGAACTAAAAAAGTTTTATTTACTGATCAAGACTGGACTTAAGACCACTTCTTTCACATGTTTACCAACACAATAACCAAACATAATACTTTGTGTATTGACAGAGTATAATTTGAATTTCAATTTGTTTTTGAAAAAAGATGCTTCGCTTTACATGCTTACATCCTTTTGAAGATGCACTGGTTGAGAGAGAGAACAACTATGAATGAAGAAACATACACAATGGCAGGCTTCCTCCTTTCAGTTAGATTCAGGATACTGAGAATATTTAGATGAGAGACCCTACATCTACTCTTGAAGAGAGACAGTATGATCACCAAGGGAAAAAAACAGACTGGGCGAAAAGTAACGGCAATCTCTAGGTCAGACTGAATTCACAGAAAATCCAACTTTCAGTCTCCATTTTAGATGCCCTGCCATACCCAATTAGAAATCAGACAGAACATAGGTGTCCCCCCTCTGCCTACCTCACAGAGGTATCTTAGATAACCTGGGCATCTAAAATGGTCCTAAGCTCCTATGTTTAAATAAGTGGAGCATCCCTTCCTCCACACATTTGCGGATGGACAATTTTCCCCTTGAAACCTGCAAGAACATGTGAACAATGTAATCAATTCCTTGTTGCCAAGACAAGCCTGTAAGTGTAGCTTAACCCTTTTAAAATCCGGACAGTCGGATGAATACCTCTGGTTGTGGTGAAACCACAGAATTTCTGGCTCGTGTCTGTTGCAGCTTAGAATTACCATAGTTACAAGGGCATAATGAGAACTCCCCAGTTCCCAAAATAACTGGAGTTGGGAAAAATGTAACTATTAGCATGTTTGGCCCAAGGTCAACTGCTTTAGTTCTTATGCAACACATAAGCAAGAGACATAGTTACTCTCACAGTTACTCTCACAGGGCCTTAAGGAAAAACATTTCCTATCTGTCGTTCTCTGCTAGCAGACATTGCTTGAAAGATGCAAAAAACAGCCGCTGTATGAGCTGCAGATTATTTCCTCATTCAGCAACAACAGAGAATGCCAGATGGAATTGGTAAGGGTTACATTCTTTCCCTTCAAAAATGGAACAGGTTTTGGGTGGAGGGAGCAGACCAGTCCTTTCTGTCAGCTGAGACAAACTTGCTGAACAGAGTTAGAGGTAAACTGCAGAAAAATAAATAAGGCTCTAATTTGCAAGAAGTTAACTCCCTCTGAATAGCAAGGTAGAAGAGCTTTGACAAATCCAAGTTTAACGGAAGTTCCTTTAATTAACGAAGACAAAGTTTTTTTTAGTGTATTAAAGTAGCATCTCTGTTTTCACCTAGAGGCCAGTGACACGGCAGCAGAGAGGAGCAATCACAGAGAATGGTGTCCATGAAAAGGACAAGCTATTTCAAATAGCCTGCTACATGTTAAGCAGAAGCGCATCACAGTACAAACACTGTTCCACAACTTATGCTGCGATTGGAGACATCTGATCACAAGGTACATACCAAAGAATCTTTCAAGCAAGGTAATACAGATAAGGATTGTGCACTAAACAGGAGATTGGAACACCGAGAAACACATGAGCAAAATGAATTAAGATAAGGTAAGGCTTTGAGGCAAAGCTAGTTACGAACAGTGTTGCCGCTGTTCTCTACTGTTTAATCAGGGATGAGAAAAGCACATTCAGAAGACAACGCATCTTTGCGGTACTTGCCAGTCATTTTTTTCCATCAATGTCTAAGTAGTAGGCACCCATGAAATTACAAGCTGATAAGTAGGCAAGATTTTATTGCTTTTTCCTAAACCTCCACACAGGTTCCTGGAGCAAAGGAAAGCAGAAGCTGCTTTCATTGTTCCTTCCTTCCTTCCCCCATGCCCCATGAATTATTCTGCTATTCCTTTTCCCAGCAGCACAACCACAAAGAAATGCATCAGTCACGCATAAATATCCCAACACTAAAGACCCCCAAATACTTCAATTCAACAGAAGTAAAATGAAGAGTCCAGCACCCTCTACAGTCATTTGTATTTTCCATTCAATCACTGTAAAAAATGGAAAGGATGTCTTATGAGTACACCAACAAAGTAATCATTACAGTAAAATGAAACTGGAACAAAACTGAACCTAATGTGTGTCTTCTGAGGTACGAACAAGTCCAAAAGAATGTACCCCATATTATTTTAATCTTTTTGGCACAAATCTCCCCACTATCCTTTGTTTCAATTTATATAACAATTGTAAGGTTAGAACAACAAATATTCTGTTTAAATAATCATGCACATGACATAAGAAGGAAGGGTGTAAAAGATTGCTCGTTCGAGTAAATATCTTGACATGACAAAAAAAAAAGCCTACACAATCCACCTCTGCAGAATTAACGTTTGGACAGGACACACTTCTAAAACACATCATTATACACACATGCCTCCTTTTCCGAGAAAAATGAGGAAGCACCATTCTCAGGTTCAAGGACAGATTACTTCAGTATTTTACAGTAACATTGCTAAGAATTAGCTAAATGAGAAAGAAGATTCTGGACAGCTTCACTGCTGCTATTTTAAGAGCTCTGACAAAAAAAAAAAAAAAAAAAAAAAAAGGTGAAAAACCAAGTGGTTTTTCATGACAACTGCTCCCATTTCTATACAGCAGAGGCTGGCACTATCATTAAGCACCAATATCAAAGTCATATTGAGCACTTTATTGGAACACACCTAGATCCAAGCTACTCCCTAGCCAAATTTGTTGTAATTCAATCATTGTTTCCAGTGCACAGACCACTCCAGTCTCTCAAGTTTGCATCCTAACTTCTACTTCCATCAGCCTTCCTTGCCACAATTCACTGCACGTCTTTTTTGCACACAATCTCTTGCCATCTTTACCTGTTAAGATCTGCACATCTCTCACACAAACACCCTTTAGAGACTCTCCCAGCTTAGATGTTATATCCCAGTTACATTTTTTTTTTTCCTTCTCTCAATCCCTTGTGCCAGGGCAGCCTCTTCTTTTAGAAGACAGAAAACAAAGAAAATTCTTAATATATTCCTCCAGTTGTTGGGGATAGAACAAGAAAAAAGAGCAATTTAAATGTCAAATCAATTAAACATTTTCTCTCAATGGGAGACTTTCAGTACCCAGTCTGAGCACTCCCAAACCCAGCAGACAGTGGCAGATTGTGCACACCCTAACAGGTCTGCATTGACATGGGAACTCAAACTTTCCATGAAGTACTTGTGCTCAACTGTTACTCATCTGTGCATTTCTCAGTAAATTTATCTCAGCCAGCTCTTTCTTGGAATCACAGTTTTTCAAACCTGCACTTGTTAGGCTAGGAGTGCTATACTGAGATTAAAAATCTAGTCATCTCATATTTTGCATGTCCATTTTACCCACATCTATACAAATATTGAAGTAAAGGGCAAGACGTCATTTGTCTAAATTGTAGCTTTTGGTTGAGTAATTCTAATTTAAAGTGGAAAAAACAGTTAGTATTTTGCCAATTTATGGCATTATTTCCACTCTGATAACCCCACTGTTTTATCTAGTGCAACCATGCTATGTGCACTGACTCACTTCTTGTATTCCTTTCCCTTTAACATAATATTTGCCATAGGTCTTATGACTATGCCTAGCTTTGTTTTGAAATAAGAACTAGAGACTGCTGGTAAATTTTACACTGTACACCAGAACTACTTCTAATTTTACTAATGAGAACAAATACATCACTCAAAATCCATTTTAAACAGTAAAACATTACAAGTTTCATGTAGATCCACTTTTGTAATTAAAACAGATTGAGACCGTGACAAATAAAATTAAAATCACCAGTAGAATGTTAATACTCTAGTAATAAATATGGGGGAACTAACCTTAATTGCAGCTTCTCTCAAGGCTTCCAGTCTCTGTCTGCTGCTGTCTTTCATATTTACAACATCTTTGTAATCACCCTGTAGAGCTCTCTGGAGGCCATGGATTGCTTGAAAGACCGAGTTTTCACTTTCATTTAGCTCCTTTTGGAAAATTTCAAAGGTATGCACCTGAAAAAGTTTCTCTTCATCTGACAGTCCTGCATCCTTCTCAACTGCTCTTATAGCATTTTTTAGTTTGTTGAGAACAACGTTCTTTTGACGAAGAAGACCAGATAGTTTTCTGCAGTTCTCCAACACCCACTGCTTTCTCTGAGTGATAACAGCTCCTTTCCCACGATGCAGCTTTATTGCATGCTTTACTACATCTTCATGTTGTGCAGGATTTGCTAACTGGCCACAAGGTAGTAAAACCAACATCCATAGGGAAATAAATCCAGTCAACTTCATTCTTCACTTTTTATTGCTGTTGTAAAGAACTGATAATCCACAACTGCTCAAAGCTTTCTGCTACATGGTTTCTGCATCTCCAGTACACATACCATGCTGGAAGATAGTACCAATCAGTTATCAAACATGATAATGTTGGGCCATTAGGTCAAACAAATGTAGAAAACAAACCCGAGACTGCATCCTACACTACAATCTTTAACAGAATGTGTATGGTCTCCTTCAGTCAACAGTTATCAAAACCAAGAAACACACCAAGGTTATTGACAGATTTTTGTTTTCCCCTTGACTATTTTCTAGAGATCATCTTGTTTTAAAAATATTAAATGGAAAGCTTAGTCAATATCACACAGCAGTCATCCGCTCTTCTTCTTAGATGAGAGAAGAGCCATTAAAAATATTAAGCCACAATGCCATATGCTATAATTCAACCTAGCACCAGAACTCATTCCTCTTATCTAATCAGTAAACCTCTTGTATTTTTTCAAACCTATCCTAAAAAATTGTATCACAACCATTTGTTATTTATACAGCCTTAGAAACATTAACACACTCAACTATACAAAACCTAATGAAAAAAGCTGAACTGAAACAGATTACATTATAAAAAAAGAAATAACAGCAAAACTTCCTGGACTTCTGAGCACTACTAGTTTGGATCAAAGACCTTCACCTAAAAGGCTGCATGGCCTTGAGACATTTTCCTTCAAAGCTGATTATTGATCCTCATGAATTTAAAATAGACTTATAAGAACACTAAAAGTAAAATCTATTCATTCATAAGTTCATTTCCCAGAAGCTACTTGAAGATCTATGTTTAGACTGCTATATTTGGTTTTAACACCAAGCAGGAAAGAATTTCAAAACTAAGAACCAATCTCCTTCCCCCAGATGCTATAGTAAAATACTGAGATTATCGTAAAATAACAAAGTTATATTTTCTTGAAAAAAAAGAAACAACCAACAAACAAACAAACCACAGAAACCCACAAAAAGCCCCACACACCACAAAGCTATATATAACAGGGTATAAATGTATGTTAAAAACATACATTAATCACAGCAGCATGGCATTCTAAAATCCACAAACGCATGTGACATGTTAGTAGATCATCAGTAGAGCAGGCATTTGCCTGAAACTTTAGCTGCAATCTTGATCTCTGGACCAACAGCCTTAAACAGACACCAACATATGGACATAATCATGTGGAAGCAGTCTGTCTAAAAGAGATTCTTCTTTCCCCATAATGCAGTAGCAGCTGCAATCACAAGTATCCGAGACAGCCATTGTCAACATATAGAATGGGAAGGGAAGATGGTAAGCACAGACACGGACCAGCTTAGTTTTTAAAATGCCCTCCTATCTAAGTTTCAGAGAGAACTGAGAAAACCTATATGTAGGTTGGTTTATTTTTTTTTTCAATGCACAAAATAAAAGCCAAAGTATTTAGCAATCAAGAGTTGACTATGGGCTAGGGTTTAACATGAAGAGCTAAAACATTTACAATTAAGAATTGAAAGTGTAATTAAAGTAGCAAAAGCATGCCTACATCACTCGAATTTCAATAAAATAGTAAAGCAGAAATATTCCAGAGCTTTGATAAAGCTATAGGACTTGCTATTTTTAAGAGATCAGGAAAAAATAACAATCCTAACCACCTGGCAAAACTCTAGAGTGATATATTTAAGGAAATATTTCTTCATATACAAATTAATATGCTTCCTGTTTAACACGTTTGGGGCAGAGATTTTGCTGAATATACTACAACCTATTTCTGCAAGAAAAAGGGAGAAGAAAATACCTAGTATACATCCAAGCTTCCGCTTGCAGGGAGGTAAAACAGTACTACATGTCTTATGTGGTACGTCAAACTAAATTCTGAGCAGAGATTTGCACTAGTAAGTTTGCCCACTGTTGCACCGTGTAAACTTAACCCCTGTGGCTCAGACACAGTACAGTTTTGTTTCAGTAACAGTTTTTTACTTGGCTAACAAAAACTATTTAGAAAAGTAGCACCTGGGGCAATGCTCAAAAGCTCTTAAGGGGATAACGACCTCTCATATGAAAATACATGATGTGCTTCAGAATGCAAATAAAAAGGAAGAGAAAAAAAAACCCCATACTCTTCTCTATGCACCAGTAAATAATCACATCAGAAGGAACTCCTGTCGTTTAGAGTCCTTTTTAAGCACAGTTCGTTTCCTGCTGGATTGCAGCTCATCCTCCCGTTTTTTCTTTCCCGAACACCACACTGTAGCACCGATCTCATCAAGCTGATACCAGCCCCTGCCTCCGGAAGCAAGCCTTCATCCTCTCTTCCAAACCGCTTTGCGGATCCTTCCTTCCATCCCTGCCAGTTTGCCGCCACCCACCAAGTTTTCTCCAGACAAGCTCCTCCTCAGGACCCGCTGCCGTCCCCCCCGGCCACCTCAGCCCCGGCCCGCACCCACCTGAGCGCCATCGCCCGCGGA